ATATATTTTAGAATTATTTTATATATATAAAATGCCTTTTTTTAATTAAAATTGTATTTTATTTGTGGCAGAAAGGATTTGACTGTGTGTGCATGTGTACAGCGTATTCCTCTAACATATGTCTTTACCAATTTGTTGGCATTTCTTCTTCCTATATAGTGAGTGAAATACAAGTAGAAAGCAAAGTATGATTTATGACAGACATTTGGTAAAGCCAACATAGATTAAGCATTTAAAATTGGGTTGCCAGGCGACCATTTCAAGACCACATCAGAGGTCTGACTTCCTATTAGAACTGACCTCAGTTCTTTAAAATAATGCCTAGTCAGTGTATCAAGTGAAGGTAAGTAATTTCAGACCACTCGACTTCTTGCCAGTTGAAATCTTGAAATATTTTATATTTTCCATCGGCACAAGAAAGGAGGGGATGCTGTCATGCAGATTGTATTCCTCTCTACTGCTTTCTCTGCAAGAAGAATGGATTTTTTCCAAGAAGGAAGAATGATTATGCACAGTAGCTGCTGCTTAAGAGCATACTTGTACCTAGCAGTGGCAGCTGTCTTACATGGATAAGGAAGAGGAAAAGAAAGCCATGCTTCTGGAGCTCATCCTCGTGGTTCTGGTTCATAGGCATGTTATTACCTAACACAGTGGTATAATACACCTGCCAATTCGTTTGTGAAAGAAGCCCAAGAGAAAATCAAATAACCATACCAATGGCATTTGAGTTTGGCAGTGGAACAAATCACCATGAGTGCAGTTCTCAAAAGTGAAGCAAAATTTTGGCATTCAGGTGCAGAGGATGTAAAAGAAATGTCATGGGCAATTTTAACTTGGAAGAGTTAACACCAAGAAAAAAGGGAACGGAGATTTCTGGACAAGAAGAACTTTCAGTAGTAAAAGATTGCAGATAAGTTAAAAAATAGTAGTAATTAAAAATGTATATCCAAATGGGAGAAGTAGGGCAGGTGGAGAATATAGGCTAATAAGAGAAAAATGCCTCTTAGTAAAGGAACTTGTCAGCAATGAGAAAAAAAAGAAGGTTTTGTGAAATTGATTCACATGAGAAGATATTACCAAAATGTCACCTGGGGGTGGGTGGGGGTATGTAGGAAAGTAGAAAAAGGAAACAACAGAAAGAAGAACAGGAATAACTTATGGAGCTCCTCATTTCCATCTACAGACAGATAATGTCAGTAACATTTTGCTGCAAAGAAGACAAATGTAGACAAAAAACAGTGACAAAATGTATTGCCAGTAAATGTACTCATATCCATGACACTTCCACTGTGTTATATATATGCAGTATCTAACGTTACAAAGTGCACTCTCAGGTACTCTCTTGGTTTTCTATCTTAGAATCATAGAATCAACCAGGTTGGAAAAGACCTCAGAAGTTCATCAAGTCCAACTCTACCGTCATTACTAGACCATGGCACTAAGTGCCCAATCCAGTCTCGTCATAAAAACCTCCAGGGATGGTGAATCTACCACCTCCTCGGGCAGCCCATTCCAATGCCTGACTGCTCTCTCTGTAAAAAATCTCTTCCTAAAAAAATCTTGTATTAGTTCTGTCCTCTACTATTAGTTCTCATAAAGAAATTAATTATGAAATGTGTCACTCTCCCTTAACAATCTTCTGTCAATCTTACTTTTGTTCAGATTTGTTTTGTAATTGTTTGATAAGCTAGTTTTGTCCCTAAACCTGCATATTTGGTCTGTAGGAAAAGTTCTGGCAGTCCTCTGCATGAAAGAGCCTTTTTAGGGCATTTGTATTGAGGCCAGACAGAACCTCACTCGCCAAGGTCTCAGGTAAAGGAAGTGGTATGAACTCTGTCTCAAGGCATGCACTCAGAGTAGACAGGCAGCACAGACAAGGAAGCTCACAACAAGAGTTTGCTCTGCCTCCTCCGAGACCTGACATGCTCCAAGCTCTGCATAGGGCCCCAGTTTTTACATTACCTCTTGAATGTGTCTGTAAGGCACAGCAATATATTCCTACTCCTAATGGAGGACTCACAGACAGATTTCATGCTTCTCACATGAAAGAAAAAGAGGAGTTAAAGCAGAGCAGATATCTGAAGACCTAAATTACTGAAACATAGCAGCACAGTTAGTAGGGACTGTCAAAAGACTCAGTTTGGTGTAATTAAATGTTTCTTCACTGAAAATTTCCTAAAGTACTATTTTTATCATAATGAAGCCCAGAGGTTTCAAATATATTTGGAGTGTGGCTGTCTCAGACAAAATAAAACCATTCAACTTTTGCTGCAAAAGCATGTTGGTAGCAGAGCTGTTGTTAAGAAATACTTCAGTTGAAGGCAGTACTTTAGCTGACGTGTTATTCCAGCCCCATGCTGCCCAATGTAAGAAGCTCTATCACCAAAACTCATTGTTACTCTAACTGCCATCTGTATTATGAGATTATGCAAGCATAGCCAAAATTTCACCAGAAGCTCATGTCTGAATGCAAAAGCCCTGTCAGCAGAGTCCGGAAGCATGAAAGTGGCTGGAGCAAGAGGTCTGTCTTTCCGCTCATATCCTGTCCTTAGACAGACCAGACAGATGGGAAGTGAGAAGGCAAGGGATGTTATTATCCCATTTAGCAGCTAGGGCAGTGAGACAGACAGATTAAGTACTTTGCTGTAATTTACACCGGAAGGATGTGCTTAGCCAAGAAATTAACCACAATTGCTTGGACGTCTGCCTTAACCATAAAACCACCCTTCCTTCTTTGCCAGTTCAGAAATCAGAAGTGCCCATTTTCACTTCAGTGTCTAAGCCCAAGAGGTAGACAAGAAAATTAATAAAAATCATAATTAAATGTAAAATAAGAGATGGGAAGGAAAAAATCAGAGAAGCAAAACAGGCAAGGAGATGCAGAGATGAGTGCAGGCAATTGTGGGAGAGACTGAGAAATAAAAGCCAGAGATAAAATCTAAGAATGAATTTAGTTAAATGATGTTGGAAAAAAAAATACTAGATGTTGGAAAATATAAACAAAATCTACCTGAAAATAAAGAAGAAGGGGGCGAGGTACCCTTTGTGCCAGCGTGGGTGCAGTCGGGCGCAGTGTGGACGGGCAGCGTCGGGTTCCGCGTGCAGAGCAATCGTGACTGAGTCATTCATGACAATAACATTTGATGGCTTATTAAATAGGAAAAGTAGCTATCCTGCATCTGCTAGACTTTGTGTTATTTAGGAGATTTACATGAAAATGTGATTTTTTTTTCTCCTAAATGGATAGTGCAGTTTCTTCTCATGCCAGTGATTTCATATTGAAAAATAGAAAGGTAATATACATAAACAGACAGACTAAGCAAAACTGAGCACTTGTAGGAATATTTTTTAATATTTGCCTATGACCCATCATGAGCACTTTAATGCTATTTGTACCAATAATAAAGGATCTAATTTATATTGATCTTTTAGAAGCTTATCAGCCTCAGGGTACAAGTACCAACATCCATGATATATGCATTTTTGAACACGCAGCCCTGAAGAATGCAATAATCCTCCAGTCATTTCTTTGGTCAGGATGTATATCCTCTTGTTCTTTTCTGAATGTTATTTAGCCATCATTCTTCACCACTTGAAAAGGAATCTTAAAAAAATTCTTAATACAGATAGCTCTATGTCCATTTCTTCCCTATTTCCCATATGTTAGCAAAATACAGTGTTGAAAAGTCTCAGTGTTTCACCCCACCTGGAATAACTTTCAAAAGACACAGGAGATACAGAAATTCTTTACAGATGAACAAGAAATCATCAAGGCCTGTTGAGGAACACTAAAACAGTTCAATGCCAAGGGTGAATGGAGAAGTGCAGATACCAATGTAGGAAAAGAAAACCAGACATTTTCTTTTCATAAATACAAAAATGAGAGCTGATTCAATGAAACCCAAAGTTGGCATATTTAGAACACTAAGGGGGGTGAGGGGGATTTCATAGTATTACATAGAAATCACTATCCAGCACTATAGTTTTAGTACAGTTTCTACATAAATGTATCTAGGCTACAGCTTTAATTTCAAATCAAAATAGCTATAAACTGCAAAGCTATTTATGGCTTTAAGTGGTCAGTTAACTAGGAGCAAGACATCCTCTGCTAAGGATTTCAGCCTTATAAATACATTCTAGCAGTGGATGGTATACTGAGTTAAATCTCCATTTGCTTCAGAAGAGGGAAGTCTATCTTGTAAAAACTGTTTAACCTTCATTTGAAGATTTAACTTGTTTTTGAAGCTCTTGATTTTGTATTTACCATTTTGAAAAATACTTGCTGTGGAGGATTGGGATTCAGTTCTTTCTTAGAATGATTGTTATGAACTGGAAAAGCAGTTGCTGGGAATATATTTTGACAATAATTTGCTAGATGTACTTTGGACTGCCTACAAAAGAAGTAGCTTGTTCATTGAAATGGCCTCATTTATTACAGAAGTTTTCAGTGCACATCTTTCAGCATTATCTTAACAGTTGACTAAGCATCAAGAAAGAACATATTGCAACAAATTCTGAGCCATCTCTTAATACAATCAGAACTTCTAAAGTAGATACTAATACAATGCCTTACATTTATATCACGAGGTTGCTAAAATAATTTACGCATACAGTAAATCAATCACTGCAAATGGTATTTAAAGAATAGCTTTGTGGAATAACAGGTGGCTAGGGTTTGAACAGCATGATTTATTGTGTCGTTTTTTTGCTTTAAAAAGGTTAATGGCAGAAACCTCCTTTCAGTTGACTTTGATCGAACTACAAAGACAGAAAAGATCTACGATGACCACCGTAAATTTCTGCTGAGGATTGCCTACGACACGTCAGGGCACCCCACCCTGTGGCTCCCGAGCAGCAAGCTGATGGCTGTCAATGTTACCTATTCATCCACAGGTCAAATAGGCAGCATACAGCGAGGGACGACTAGTGAAAAAATAGAGTATGATGGACAGGGAAGGATAGTGTCTAGAGTGTTTGCTGATGGGAAAACTTGGAGTTACACTTATTTAGAAAAGGTAAAGAACACTTGGGTTTTAAAAAAATGCTTGGAATGTGCTGCAATTTTGCAGCACCTCACTGCTGCATACAAAACAAAAATACGTAGTAGAAGCACATTTCAATTATTCTAAGTATCAACATGTGATTCCAGGGGGAATGTTTCATTCCACAGATGTGTAATCATGCTGTAGCTAATTGCTAGGAATTGATGTGGTTTTAAATTATTTAGGCCACCAACTAACAAGAAGCATCTGTATTTACCTTTTATCTTAACACTTAAAATAAGGTACAGGGACTACCTGCAATGTAATTCAGCTGAAAATGATTTGTTTGTAAATGCTTCACTGTTGTGGGGTTTTTTTTCACTACTAAGAAAAGCTCTTGTTTCGAAATAATTACAGCTGTCAGTTTGTACTTGCTATATGGTATAGCTTCAAAATAAGCAGCAGGCACAAGATTAGGGATCTTTTTTGTATATAACAATTGCTGAATGATAGCTCTCCTAGAAATATCTGTGAAAATGCCCCTTGTAAGATCTCATGTCTGCTATGTGGAAAGAGAATCCTTTTCTTTCTGGGGTTTTAATGTATTTCTGTTGGAGCTGTTGCTCAGCAAATGCTGTTTACTAGTTAGTGCAGACATAATTTAATCAAGACCTATGATACATAATAGCCACGCTTCAGAAAAATGTCTGAATAATTCCAAGTAGCTCCTTTCGATATGAATAATCAAACAATTGTTTTGCCTATGCCTCAAAAGCTTACAGAACAAGAACACAGCATTCAGGCATCTCAGACTATTCAAACTCTTCAAAATCATCTCTAATTGTAGGGAAGAAATTGTATCTCCCATATGTTGTTCTCCTCGTGAGTTAATGGCTCTAAGACAGTTTTACTTCTTCCCATATTAAACATGACTTATCTGAATCCATTGACAATCTGCTGTTTAGCTGTGAGTGCTTGATAAAGAGTGATATAGTCATAACAAGTAGCAAATTATGAATGTGGAACTACTAATTACAGAACCCCTTACAATTAAGCATACAAGTAAATTAGGCAGGGAGATGTTAACAACATGTAAGGTCAAGGATAACTCAATTAAAGAGGAGATAATTTTCTCAAGTGGGAATGTCACATTTTTGTGAAGAAATAGTATCAGAATATGGGTTGGGGGGGGAGATACTGCACCATTTGTCACATGGTAAAAATCTGTTCTTAATTTTCAGTCAATGGTTCTTCTGCTTCATAGCCAACGGCAGTATATCTTCGAGTATGATTTGTTGGATCGGCTTTCTGCTGTCACCATGCCCAGTGTTGCTCGTCATACCATGCAGACTATCCGCTCCATTGGCTATTACCGGAATATATACAACCCCCCGGAAAGTAATGCTTCGGTTATAATGGACTATAACGAAGAAGGGCAGCTCCTTCAAACTGCTTTCCTGGGGACAAGCCGAAGAGTATTATTCAAGTACAGACGGCAGACCAAGCTCTCAGAAATTTTATATGATAGTACAAGAGTTAGTTTTACTTATGATGAGACAGCAGGAGTCCTGAAAACAGTAAACCTCCAAAGCGATGGTTTTATCTGCACCATTAGATACAGACAAATTGGCCCATTGATTGACAGACAGATTTTCCGCTTTAGCGAAGACGGAATGGTAAATGCCCGATTTGACTACAGCTACGACAATAGTTTCAGAGTGACTAGCATGCAGGGTGTCATCAATGAAACCCCATTGCCTATTGATCTCTACCAGTTTGATGATATCTCTGGCAAAGTTGAACAGTTTGGAAAATTTGGAGTTATATATTACGATATTAACCAGATCATTTCGACAGCTGTAATGACATACACAAAACACTTTGATGCACATGGTCGCATCAAAGAAATTCAGTATGAAATATTTCGGTCATTAATGTATTGGATTACAATTCAGTATGATAACATGGGACGAGTGACGAAAAGAGAAATTAAGATCGGGCCATTTGCCAACACCACAAAATATGCTTATGAATATGATGTAGATGGTCAGCTCCAGACAGTTTATCTGAATGAAAAAATAATGTGGCGATACAACTATGACCTGAATGGCAACCTCCACTTGCTGAACCCCAGTAGCAGCGCCCGTTTGACACCACTTCGCTATGACCTGAGAGACAGGATAACTCGACTAGGTGATGTTCAGTACCGATTAGATGAAGATGGATTTCTGCGTCAGAGGGGTACTGAAATCTTTGAATACAGTTCAAAGGGTCTTCTAACTCGAGTTTACAGCAAAGGCAGTGGGTGGACAGTGATCTACCGCTACGATGGACTTGGACGACGAGTTTCCAGTAAAACTAGCCTTGGACAGCATCTCCAGTTTTTTTATGCAGACCTTACATACCCAACCAGGATAACTCATGTATACAACCACTCAAGTTCTGAAATCACATCTCTCTACTATGATCTGCAAGGACACCTATTTGCCATGGAAATTAGCAGTGGAGATGAGTTTTACATCGCATCAGACAATACGGGGACACCACTGGCTGTTTTCAGTAGCAATGGTCTCATGCTTAAACAAATTCAATACACTGCATATGGAGAGATCTATTTTGACTCTAACCTTGACTTTCAGCTGGTAATCGGATTCCACGGAGGCTTATATGACCCACTGACCAAGCTAGTCCACTTTGGAGAAAGGGATTATGACATACTGGCAGGCCGGTGGACAACACCCGATATTGAAATCTGGAAGAGAATTGGGAAGGACCCAGCTCCTTTTAATTTGTACATGTTTAGAAATAACAACCCAGCCAGTAAAATACACGATGTGAAGGATTATATCACAGGTAAAAGAAGGTTGCTTGATGGCAGCTGGGGATGCTGGACCTATAGACATCCACTTTAGAGGGAGTGAGACTGTAAGGTAGCAAGGGCAAGAGGGGTCCTTCTGTGACCAGTTTAACTCATTAACATCACAGAAAATACTCACTGGAAGTCGGTTGATATTTTCCAGGGTAGGCTTTCGCAAGGCTGCTGATGTAAGTTGGCCAAGAGAAGCCCAGGGTCAGCAAAAAGTAATGAGTACACAGCCAAGAGCAGGGAAGGAGCAGTAGGACAGACAAAAGGAGTACAAATTTCTCTTGGCAACAAAAAGGTGCCTCATGCCACTTCTTGTATATCTGAATTCTGAGAGAACCTATATGCTTTTTGTGGTCCTAGAGCTAGTGGAGTGTAGTGTCCTCAATTATTCAACATACTAAAAACCTGATTGCATGTCACCAGAATTTTTTGGAAAATGTATGGCTCAGAGACATTTGATTTTGCATATTTTAGTAGATGTAAATAGTCCCAAAATATTTTACACAGATAGCACCAGACTATAGGAAGGGCTCAGCCCCACTTACTTAGGAGCTGTGAGACTACCACTCAGAAGAGCATCCTGGGAATCAAGTGGGTTTGCATTAATTTAACAAACAGCAGTTAGTAACTGGGTTGCTAACGGGCTGCCTGGGAGTAAGGATAATAACAGACCTTTGAATCTGTCCTCTTTTAGCAGCATGTGCTGTAGGGGATGCAGTTGCAATCAGATTCTTTGTGGCATTGAAAATTATGCACTTAGTTCAAAAATTGCCCTCAAAATACAGTTTTAGTTCTTTTCTTAACATCTTTGATCTATGAAATACATAGACTGGCACTGCTTATATAAGGTTATCATTACAATCAGTAATTTGGCTGACTGGCAGTTTTAGATGCAGAGCCTCATGAGGCATATGACTGATTTGAAAATGTTAGAAATTAAGATTAATATTTGTTATTCTTCTAACATTTGGAAAAAAGGCTTGCTTGTTCCACTTACTTGAAGTTTTCTTAAATAAAAATTATTAGACTTGATAAGGAGCATTCTGCCAATCTCTAAGCTTAGTATTTCTGAAAGATAGAGTAGAAAGACAGAAACAAGCCAGAGCACTCATTCTTGCCAAACAATTGTTTACTACCTAATTGTTGGCATCTCTAATTTATTTATTTTTAACAGAATATAAAATGTATAATGTTATCTAATGCTAATTCAGTATCCTGTCTGCTTACTGATGCAACTGTAATACATTTCATTAGATTTTAATTTCATCGGTCCAACTTCATCTTGAAGAGGGGGAGATTTCTCTTGAATCAACATAAAATATCTGCCAAATCCTTTAAAAGGTAATTGACCACATAGGTGCTATTTCAGGGGTAGTTTGAAGGCATTAGAATAACACATAGGACAGGACGTGCTCTGCAGTACTTTTTTTTTTTGCTTTGTTCTAAAGTATTGATGCTGAAGTCGCGACATAAAACATGTTTAGCCTGACCATGAAATCCCAGTTAGCTTCAGCTGTGTTAGAAGAAAATCTCACTTTAATTGTGCTCCTATAATTGTTCTG